CCATTGGTACACATTTTTCTCGGGGAAGCAATAATTTCAAGGCACTTCCTGCCTAAGAGAAATCAGAGATTCAGGAACAAGATTTCCTTCCACTTCAAGGGTGCTGATACAAATCACACTCATATTGCCCTTATCACATCATATATTCAGAGCTGAGACCTCAGGGTTCATCTAGTCCGACTCCCTTAATTTGACAGATGAGGAAACTGAGGCTTGGGGAGAAGAGACTTGCCCAAGGTCACTCATAGGATCGTAGATCTAGAGTGAGAAGGTACTTCAGAGCCCATCTAGTCCAATCCCTTTCATTTTAAAGATGAGGAAACTGAGTCCAAGTGAGGGGACTAGATTTGCCCAAGGTCACTGAAAGAATCACAGATCTAGAACTAGAAAGGACCACAGAAGCCAGCTAGTCCAATGTTCTTCATTTTACAAAGAAGGAAACTTAGGCCAAGAGAGGGGAGGTGCCTTGCCCAAGGTCGCACAATTTTCCCACTGTACCATGATGCCTCCAACTCTGCCACCTCAGCAGTGCCAATGCCCCAACCCAGAGAACCCTGCCTACCCACAGTTTCCTCCTACACTCAGTTCTTCCAGCTAACTGATGATATATGACATCAATATAGCTGCCTCTGAGTTTGTAAGCAGGTTGTACGCATCAGATCACTTAGGGCTCACAGCAGGAGGTGCTGCTATTGTCCTCAATTAACAGATGAAGAAACTGAGGCTCAGAGAATTGAACTGGGTTGTATAGCTAATAAGATGTAGGATTTGAAACCATGCCTTCCTGACTGCAAGTGCAGCATTCCAGTCACTATGCCATGGGCCCAAAGACCAGTGTATTTTCTTTTCAATATTTTTCAGTCTCTCTAGTCTCTGTTTTATTCCACTTCAGTCTGACCCCTCTTCCCTCCATCCTCAAGCTGAGCATATATGTGAAATACAGCAGGTGCATAGCATAATCAAGTCAAGAATGGATCTATCAACAAGACAACAACAGGTCTGGGCTGTTTTCTATCAGGGAAGCATACACTCAGGTATCACTACAATCAACAGATCAAATTACACTGGGACCTTGCCTCCTCCCTCCCTCCCTCCCTCTCCTCCCCCTCCCTCCCTCCTCCTCCCTTCCTTCCTTCCTTCCTTCCTTCCTTCCTTCCTCTTCCTTCCTTCCTTCCTTCTTCCTTTCTCCTCCCTCCTCCCTTCCTTCCTTCCTTCCTTCCTTCCTTCCTTCCTTCCTTCCTTCCTTCCTTCCTTCCTTCCTTCTTTCCTTCCCTTCCTTCCTTCCTTCCTCCTCCCTCCCTCCTTCCTTCCTCCTTCCTTCTTTCCTTCTTCCTTCCTTCCTTCTACTTCTTTCCTTCCTTCCTTCCTTCCTTCCTTCCCTCCCTCCCTCCCTCCCTCCTTCCTTCCTTCCTTCCTTCCTTCTTCCTTTCCTCCCTCCTTCCCTCCTTCCTTCCTTCCTTCCTTCCTTCCTTCCTTCCTTCCTTCCTTCCTTCCTTCCTCCTCCTTCCTCCTCCTCCTTCCTTCCTTCCTTCCTTCCTTCCTTCCTTCCTTCCCTCCTCCCTCCTCCCTCCTTCCTTCCTTCCTTCCTTCCTTCTTCCTTCCTTCCTCCCCTCCCCCTTCCTTCCTTCCTTCTTTTCCTTCCTTCCTTCCTTCCTCTCCCTCCCCCTTCCTTCCTTCCTTCCTCCCTCCCTCCTTCCTTCCTTCCTTCCTTCCTTCCTTCTTTCCTTCCTTCCTTCCTTCCTTCCTCCCTTCCCTCTCCTCCCTCCCTCCCTTCCTTCCTTCTTCCTTCCTTCCTTCCTTCCTTCTTCCTTCCTTCCTCCTTCCTCCCTCCCTCCCTCCCTTCCTTCTTCCTTCCTTCCTTCCTTCCTTCCTTCCTTCCTTCCTTCCTTCTTTCCTTCCTTCCTTCTTCCTTCCTTCCTCCTCCTCCCCTTCCTTCTTCCTTCCTTCCTTCCTTCCTCCTCCTTCCTTCCTTCCTTCCTTCTTCCTTCTTTCCTTCCTTCCTTCCTTCCTTCTTCCTCTCTCCTTCCTTCCTTCCTTCCTTCCCTCCCTCCCCCCCTTCCTTCCTTCCTTCCTTCCTCTTCTTCTAAAGCAAGTTCTTGACTTCATTTTGGCTTTGCTTCTGAATCTGTTTCTAATATCTAGACTTTGGAGAAGATGCTGGAGAGGGCTTTGGCACACAACAGCCAAAATACAGAAGGAAGAAAGGAAAGGGATAATTCTATCTCCAGCAAGAGACTGTTCCAGCAAGACGACAAAGGATAATCAAAGTGGAAAAATTCAAATGAATTTTGAAATCAATGATGAGTTAAAGCAACTCTCAGGTTCTACCTCATACCCAGCAGACTGGCAAAGATGACAAAAGAGGAAAATGACAAATGGTGAAGGAGCTGAAGGAAAACAAACATACAAATGTATTGTTGATGGAGCTGTGAATTGGTCCAGCCATTCTGGAAAAGCAATTTGGAAGTATGCCCCCAAACTGTACATACCCTTTGACCCAACTGTATTATTACTAGGCCAAAGAGATATAATATTATGCGTGTATATATATATATATATACACATACATATACATATATACACATGTGTGTGTGTATGTGTGTGTGTGTGTGTATATATATATATATATATATATATATAAAATATACCAAAGAGATCAAAAGAGGAAGAAGATGACCCACAGGTTATGTATATATATATATATATATATATATATATATTATATATATATATATGTGTGTGTGTGTGTCTGTGTGTGTGTCTGTGTGTGTGTCAAAGTGGATGAGTGTGTGTGTGTATGTATACACACACACACACACACACACACACATATCAGTTGGTTTCGTAGTAGCCAAAAACCAGAAACTAAGGTGGTACTAACTGATTTGGGAACAGCTGAACAAATTGTGGTATATGAATGTAATGGAGCATTATAGTGCCAAAAGAAATGATGAAAAGGATAGTTCTAGAAGAAACTGGGAAGCCCTCTAAGCCCTGATATGGAGTGAAGTAAAGAGAAGATGAACAGTTTATACGACAGCAATATTATAAAGAAAAACAACTTTGAAAGCCTTTAGAACTCAGCCCAATGCAATGACAGACTGAGTCTAGAGGACTAAAGATGAAGAATGGCAGTTCTCTGCTGCCACAAAGGTGATGGCCTTAAAATCCAGAGTGAGACACGCATTTTTGGATGTGGCCAATGTAGCAATATGCTTTACTGGGCTACCCAAGTTTGTTATGAGGGTTTTGTTTTAGTTAATTGCTCAGTTTGGGTGGGGGGAGCAATGAGACAGAGGGATTGTTTAAAAAAAAAAAAGGTTCAAGTATTGTCAGGAATTGAGGGAAGGAAGGTTTTCCAAAGGGGACCAGGGCTGAGATTTTGAAATCTGATCTTCATCTGCCATCTAGTGATGGAAGCTACATCCTGTACAGCCATGTGCTCCCCAGTTGTCACTAGCAAATGCTGCTTCCTTTGAATTTTTGTAATAGACTTATTCAAAAATTATGTCAGCTCCCCTTAGAAGCATTACAGTTCAAGAGTGTCCTTTCACTTTTAGGACCAAAGCTTACTAATAAAACTTACTTAATAAAACTAATTAACATTGGGTTCCCAACTAGTCTTTTAGAGAAGAGAATGGGGTAAGGAGGAAGGAGTATATCAGAAAATGCCTGTGACCTAAAACAAAAAGGCATCAATAATATTTTTTTAAAAACAAAAATAAATTAAGGCCAAAAATCAGGTACAGAGTTGACATTCTCTCTGTAGCCTACAGGCTAAATGGAGTATGGAAAACCCTATTTGTATTAGTGAAATGTAATCACAGTGCTGTCTCCCAGGTGTTTAAAATGGAGCTCACTTTAAATAGTCTGATCCCTTGGGTGCTGGTGGTACAGCCTTCTCAAGTTTCAAGTGCAGGTATGTTTCAGGGTCTCTCCTGGGAATGCATTAAGCTCATCAGCCACAGGAAATGTCACAGTCATTACATGATGGAAAGACTTTTCCTGGGAGACAGAAACAGCAGGCTGCTACACAGGTGGGCAAATGTGGTGAATTCATCTGGCCTGCTTTTTCATAGGGTCATAGATTTAGAACTGAAGGAGACCTTAATCTAGTCAACCCTCTCATCCTATAGGTGGGGAAACTGAGACCAAGAAAGATGAAGTGACATGTCCAAAATCTCATGGGCAAGGGACAAAGACCCAAGTCAACCCCATCTGACTTAAAATCTAGCATTCTTGCCACTGCATCACACTTATTTATATGTGCATGTTTATGTGTGTGTATATGTATACACCCAAACATAATACATATACATATACACATGAATGCACATATATGTATGCATAAATATACATCTACACATATACATATATATTTAAAAGTGATGGACTTTTTATTATACCATTTGCCCTATTTTAAAGGGCACAAGTGGCTATGCCACTTATTACTGGTGTGACGTTGGACAAGTCACTCTACCTATGTGGGCCTCAGTTTCCTTATCTATAAAATGAGGGAAGTGAACTAGATTCCCTTTAATATCTCTTCCAAGTCTAGTTTTAGGATCCTTGGGTCCTATGCTTGTTAAAATACACATGAACTCTGTTTAGTGTTATCTCAAGGGCAGAACACAGCTCCACTCCTCCCACCCTGCCCCAGAGATTTCTGTGCCAACCTTCTGTTTCAAGACATCGTATTTATTTGGGGAGAAAATTTTGTTCCGGTTTATAAATAATAATTTATAAAGTGAGCATCTCCCAAACAAAATCTGGGCCACTGTATAAAACAGACCGAAATAAAACCAGACTAGGCTGGCTTCCCAGAGAAGGGTGGGGATGAGGAGGGGGTGGGGTGGGAAACAGAGCACAGCACAGCACAGCAGTAACAGGAGAAGGCCCAACTGAAGAAGAAAAAAAAATTTCAATTGTCAAAAAGATACAAAATTAAACCTTGTTGCAAAATAGATTTTTACAGGCAGTGATCATAGCTGTAGACAGAGAAAGAAGCCAGACATAATCAATCAATAATCTCTTATTAGAATACCACTGAGTGCTCCTAAAACAGTAGAGAGCCACTTGTCAGGCCTAAAGGTGTTGGGGAAAATTGTCAAGGCAACCCACCACCCAATAGGAACAGACGTATCTTGGGCTTCTGAGGTTGTAAAAAAACTCTTGGCTAGAATTCACTGCAGAGTGAAGAAGCAGGAGGGAGCAAGGCATGCACACTTGTGGCCCATCTGCACTTACAGGCCCGCCAGAGCTCTGATAGCAAAATCTCCCAAGGTAAAGTCATTATCACTTTCTTCATTTGGGTCTTGAGATATTTGGGGAGGGGGGTAGAAGGGGGGAGTCCTTCTTTTGGAGTAACTTCCATCCCTGGCAAGTTCTACTTAGAACTTTCATTTCTTAAATTTCAAGCTGATGCCTTTTCAATGAGGGTGGGTGGGGTGGGAGGAAGGGAGAAAATTTGGAACCCAAAGTTTTAAAAACACATTTAAAAAAAATATTTCTGCATGCAACTGGGAAATAAGAAATACAGGAAATGAGGTACAGAAATCTATCCTGCCCTACAGGAAAATAGAAGGGGAAGGGGATAAGAGAAGGTGGGGGAGAGATAGAAGGGAGGGCAGACTAGGGGAAGGGGTATTCAGAATGCATGCCATCTTGGGTTGGGGGGAGGGGCAAGATGGGGTGAAAATATGGAATTCAAAATCTTGTGGAAGTAAATGTTGAAAACTAAAAATGAATAAATTTATGTAAAAAAAGGGAAAAAAAAAGATTTCAAGCTGCAAGTGGTCTCAGTTTCCTCTAGTACAAAATGAAGGGCTTAAACCAGATATTGTTTAAGGTCCCTGATTCCAGGGACCTAGAATCTAATCTAACCCCTTCTCATTTTCCAGAGGAGGAAACCAAGGCTTCATGAGAGGAAGTAACTTGCCCAAGGTCACACAGCTAGTCAGTTCTTTTTGAAAGATAAGATCCCTAGTGCTTTAGAGCAGCATTGGTTAAGATGCTTAATGAGTTGTCCAGAAAGTGCAGGATCTCAGGGCATTTTTTCTATGTTCAGAATTATGGGTTTCAATAGTGGTGCTCCCACGCATGTCCAAAAAAAAATCCCATGAGGTTTTAGGGCCATGTGCTCTCTACTCAGGCTTTACTCTCCACCCACGAGGTGGCGCCATGGTGCACGGAGTGCTGGGCCTGGAGTCAGAAAGCCTGGGTAACTTTGGGCAAGTTGCTTACCAATGCTGTTTGCCTCAGTTTCCTTATCTGTAAAATAGGGTTAATAACAGCATCTACCCCCTACTCCCTAGGCATGATCAGATGAGATAATATTTGTAAAGTACTTAGGCGTAGCACATTGCCTGGTACATAGTAGGGGCTTTAAAAGGCTTGCTCCCTTCCTTTTTTCTACCTCCCTCCCTCCCAAAATTGGACTCTACCCCTTATTTAAGTTTTGATCCAGGCTTCGAAGTAAAGCTACCACCCCCCACACGTTTAGGTGTTCCTTCTCCCGTTACAATGTATATTTTTTCAGAGCAAGGACTATCTTACTTTCTTGCATGTGCACCCCCAGCATTTAGCATAATGTGTAGCACAAAATGGGCGCTTAAGAAATGCTCTTTCTGTCTAGCTCTCCAGAACTAGAACCTAGGTCTCTTGATCCCACTTAATCGATGCCATCCTGTAGAATGGGCAAAGCTGCCCCTGGGATAAACTGAGGCCCACTTTGAAAACTGTAACTTGGAATATAATCATGTTTTCCTTTAACTTAAGTGAGAAAAGGTGAGACTCCAAGGCCTAGGAGAGCTCAGAAGAACATAACTTGTGGTATCACAATGATATTCTAAATTAGATTGTCCAGCCTAATGCATGGTTCATTTGGGGGGAAATGGGACCTATGACCTCAAACTGTATCTCTCACATGTAAGCACTATATAAAAAACAGCTATTGAGAGAAAGGTCATTAAAAGAGCTCAGGCTTTGGGATTAGAAACGGTTACCACTGCACCCTGCCCACTCCCCAGGCAAGCATTTCATTTCTATTAGTATTAATAAGGAGTACTTAGTATTAATACCAGGAATTAGTTAATAAGGAATATTTAATACTAATATTAAAATACCAATATGGACATTCATATTTAATATTCATATAATGAACATTCATATTAATATAATTAGTATCCATAGGACTTCTGTAGCAAGACTGTCTCAACTTAGCTCGATCTGGGCTTATCTCTCCTTAACCCAGTTAGAAGCCCTGCAGACTCTGAAACTTTTTTTGGGGGGGGGTAGGCAATGGGGTTAAATGAGTTGCCCAGGGTCACACAGTTAGTAAGTTTCAAGTGTCTGAGGTCAGATTTGAACTCAGGTCCTCCTGACTCCAAGGCCAGAGCTCTATCCACTTAATCACCTAGCTGCCCCTGAAACTTTTAAAAGACAATGGACAGGGGCAGCTAGGTGGCGCAGTGGATAGAGCACCAGCCCTGGAGTCAGGAGGACCTGAGTTCAAATCAAGCTTCAGACACACAACACTTACTAGCTGTGTGACCCTGGGCAAGTCACTTAACCCCCATTGCCCAACCCCCCCCAAAAAAAAAGACAATGGACAAAGGGGACATTTCTAGGAAGAGGAGAAAGAGAAAAGAGGAAAGGAGAGAAGGAAGAGTCACGTACTAACTAAAGTGCGGACTAACCCTCTTTCAGATTAAAATCCAAAAGAATTTACCACTTCCTGACTTGGGATGAAATACTCTTCTAGAAACCATAATTTTGGAATTTAGAACATATAAAAAATTCCCCTTCCCTGTGCCATTCTACAGATTCTTGGGAGGGGGTAGGAAAAATTGGGCTTAAAATCTCTCACTGTTAGGGATCGCAGAGGTCATGGGATCAGAGGTCTAGAAAGGTCATTTAATCCACCTCCCTTGTTTTACAGGTGACGAAACCTTGAAGGCCCTAGAGGTAAGATGACTTCAGGTTGAGCCTTCTTTCTACAGCACCATGCTGCTGCCCCTCCTAGTCCACCTTGGGCCCCATGCTGGAACTCCCTTTATAGAAAGCCTCTACCAGCTTACACATATTTACACGAGAAACAAAACTGCACCTTAATTAACAATAGAACTGCAGAAATTCAGTTATCCTAGTTCAAGTCCTAGCTTTGTAATTACCTACCTGAGTGACTTTGGGCAAATTATTTCCCCTCTCTGGGCCTTGGTTTCCCCCCTCTGCAAAAGGAGAGGTTGAACTGGAGCAGTCCAGGACCCTTTTGGCAGACCGGTGAAATCTTTGAACCCCTTGTCAAAATAATTAATATTTTTTAAAAATTGAAGGAAACGCTTAATTCCATTTAGAGGTTACCAAAAGAAACACGTCATTTTTCCCATCCAAATTCACATGCAACCTAAAATCTAGTGTCAAACCATGGACCAAAGGTTAACCCCTGGAATACAGGATCTCTAAGATCCAGTTCCCAAAATCAGTGGACTAAGGTGATGTCTACTAAATCACCAACACTAAATTCACCCCGGTTCAAAGTACTTCCTTAGTCTTTTTTTTTGGGGGGGGACAAGCTGTTCACACTGTTTATTTGCATCTCCAAGGGGGGGAGGGAGGAGAGTTTTGTGGGGTGGTTTTGTCTTCACAGACAGTGAGTGGAACTCATAAAGGGCCTTTTCACTGAAAGAGGGCAGAGAAAAGGAAGGACATTTAGGGAAGGCACAAAGAGTTGGGGCAGACCTTGGGTAGGGGGAGAATCGGCTGGAATGACAGAATAGGCAAAGGAGGGAGGTGTGAAGGTGGGGTAGTCGAAAGGCATTGTGGGGGTGCTGTATCCCTCCCATACCAGGGACGAGGGCAGGGACTTTCAGTGGCCAGGCTGGCCTGGAGGGAGCCCACCCCCACTGGGTCTCAGGGGTCTGTTTCAAGACATGGCCCATGGGGTCTGTGGCTCATGGCACTGAGCTGGGGATGGGGAGAGGTCTTGGGAATTCAGAGCCAACAGATTCTGGGACAAGAGAGTGTGCATGTATGTGTATACATTGCGTGCATGTGAAGAGGGCACCCCAAATCATTACCACAGATAACTTTGGGTTAAAGAGATGGATCCTGGGGCAGGTAGGTGGTGTATTGGATAGAGCATTGGCCCTGGATTCAGGAGGTCCAGAGTTCAAGTATGGCCTCAGACATATAACACTTACTAGCTGTGTGACCCTGGGCAAGTCACTTAACCCCATTGCCTAGACCAAAAAAAAAGAGAGAGAGATGGCTCCAAGCAGTTGGGGGTGGGGATATTTCTAGCACATATATCCAGAATTAGGGGGAGGGGTAGCAGCAGTCAGGGAAATGTTAGATCAAAATAAGAGGAAATCATATCTATTTTCATAGTGAAAAACTGCCCACATAAGTATCCTGGGTACATACCTAATTTCATATCTAATGTTTCAGAGGGGAAAATATCACTAGCATTGAAATCCTTATGTTACCCCTATTCATACCACATGGGACACCAGTCAGGAGTGCCAAAACCCATGTGGTTAAGGATGGCCTCTAACCTTCCATGACCTACCAGTCCAATAACTGTCAAAAAAAAAAAAAGGAGAGGCTGGCAGGACTTCATCTTAGGAGACTCATGCTGGCTCCTGGTGGTCACCATTTACTTCCCTTTCTTAATACTTCCAGACTCCCTAGAATACAATTTTCCTGGGCACTGCCATCTAGCTCATTAGGCTGTAGCTTTTAGAATTCACAGAATTGGGAACTACTGGACCATGGGGTCATGGGTGTGAAAGAAGTGCTCTTCCTGGTAGTGGTTGACTTGAGCAATCACAGGGGTGGGGAGGGAGTTCTTATCCCCAAACTCCTTGGTCCACTAAAGGAATGACCACAGGCCAGCCAAGATTGGCCTTCATAAATGAAACCCTGATCCAGAAGCAAGCCCAGGGAGAGCTGGCCTCAGTTCAGCAAGGAGATGAGTGTGGGCCAGGCTACTCCAGGGGGAGGGGCTCACGGACAGCCCAGCTCCCACAGCTGGGCCTGGGCCTGGGGCCCAGGACATCTAGGGTGTGCATTGCCCTTTCCCTCAAAGTAAGGGCCCAGCTCCAAGACTTTGGGTCTTTCTAGACCATGCTGGGCTAGAGGCAAGGGCACATCCTTTTGTTCTCCACCAAACCCAAACTGGCCAGCAAAGCAGATAGGAGAATGTGGCATAAGAGAGGGAAAGTAGAGTCTCTTGGCAGCTGCAAATCAAGTCCCCTCCTACCCCTCCTACCAAAGAGAGAAGCACCAGATGGGAGAAGGCCCAGGGGATCAAGGTGGGGAGAGAACACGATCAGCTAGGAAGAAGCATGCCAGGGATACCCCCAGCGACAGACGGCCTTGGGTATACCTTGGGCGAGGTTGAGTGCCTCTGCGGGGGAAGTCACTCGACCTTTGTGCAACTGCATTCCCCCTCTCCAAGGTCTCCAAGGGCCACTGCTGTGATTCTGTAGGGGCACCTGCTGCCCACAGGTGGGAAGAGGGCCTTGCTCCTGGCCACCCCATGTCCCAACTGCATCTGGTTCACCCTAATCAGGTCCCCGGGGGGGGGGGGAGGCTAGCATTTGAGGACAAGTTTGGTCCAGACTGACTATCTCAGTAGCCTAGCCCTGGGAGGCCTAGGTCTTGTCCCCACTTTGGGAAGTGGAACATGGAGGTCTAGACTCACCAACAGGTTCTAGACCTGGCCTCTGTATCTGAAGAGAGCCTGAGAGTTCAGAGCAGCACCTCCAACAATGTCCCTACATTCTAGAGCAGAAGTTTACCAAGCAAAACTCAATACAGCAAGGACTCTGGGAGTCCTTCCACTGAGGTTGAGGAAAGGAGGCCCAGTTTTCACTGAACCAAACCCCATCATCCATGCCAGGAGTGTGTCTGGGGAAGAACCATCTTCCCCTCCACCCCCCGCCCCAGAGCTGAGGCCTCATCTGCAGTCTCATAAGTGCAATTCTGGTTCTGTATCCCAACCTCCCTTTGCTCAGCTGGTTCCAGATTTACAAGCGCCCGAAAGGAGGAAAGTTCTGCTTTCCCACAGCCCTCCCTGAGTCACTACAAGCAAGCAGGACCAAATACAGTTAGCTCCTAGGGAGAGCTGGGGGACCCTGGAAGGAAACACCCACACCGGGAAGTTCTTAATCCATTGACAGGCACAGAGCCAGGGAGGTACAGAATCCCAACGGGGCTTTACTCATCCCCAAGAGGATAGAGGGCCAATACTCGGATCCAGCTCAATGCTTCAGCGACATCCCTCACCTCCGAAAGACGCAACAGGCTGGAGGCAGGGACTCGGAGGGAGGGCCCCGTGTTTCTGCTCCATCAGCAAGGCAGGGTTGCGAACTCTTCACAAACTGCACAATCCTTGTTCTTGTTTAAGAGGCAGGGGAGGGAGGGAAGAGTACATCTGTGTGTTTGTAAATGAGTTTAGGGGACTGTGGCTAGGTTGAGCATGTGTCGCTTGAATCGATGGTTCTAGCTGGCTCTGTCTGTCTGAATGTCCGTGTGTCCATATGGATGCACTTGGCTGACTGCGTGTCTGGAGTGCTTCCATGTATGTGAAGACGCTGGGCCTTGGCACTGAGTGGCTCGAAGGCAATGTCAGGGCCAGGGGACAACGGACCCTGGGGGCCTCACATTACAAAACAACATCTGTTTCTTCATATCCAGGTCTTAGTCTGTGCTGGCTGTGACATCTGCCCGAGGGCTTTAGAGGCCCTGCTTCTCTTCCTTGTCTAGGGGTACTTCCTTAGTCTTTTTCTTTTTTGTTTCTTTTTTTTTTTTTGTCTAGGCAATGAGGTTAAGTGATTTGCCCAAGGTCACACAGCTAGTAAGTGTTATGTGTCTGAGGCTGGATTTGAACTCATGTCTTCCTGAATCCAGGGCGGGTGCTCTACCCACTATACCACCTAGCTGCCCCTTCCTTAGTCTTAATAGGCATAGTAAGGATTGGGTGTTCAGTTGAATTAGTCACCATCATAAAACCATGGGATGAAGTTGAAACAGCCCTCTAGATCCCTTATAACCACCTCCTCCTGCTTATCTACTTTCATTTTCTTAGTTTTGTCACCCTCGAGGTGTTGGCTACCCAAGGGGAGCTATCTTTGTGCATTTTTTTATTATTCAAATGATGCTTCACTTGGCACTAGTTTTATTCAGTGCTTCTACTTCTCAGGGGTACCCACTGACTCTGAGTAGAACACTGAGGACACAGGCTCACCACTGAACTTGGTGCCAAGAGGTAAGTGCTCCAAAGCTCAGAGCTTAGAGTCACCCAGCTTGCTTAAAGGCCTTCTTTCTGGAAGGTGAACCATCTCCCCCCCTCCCCCTTTGGTTTGTTTCTACTCACCGTGACAACCAGGAGCCTGCCTGACAGGAGTGGCCAGGTGGGTGTGACATGATAATGGAGGAGCAGTTAACAATCCAGATGCTCAGGGAAAAGGCAGTTTGTTTTTTTCCTAGGATCTGAGAACATCTCAAGACTGGTTTGAACCCTTGCTAGAAAGGGGACGGACCACAGAGGATGTTTATTTTTAAAATCTATTTTCTCCTACAGGTTAAAACAATGAATCTGTTTCCAATGCCTCTTTGGGTGGTTTTTTTGTTTTTTTCCACGGAATCTCTGCTTCCCATCTCCTTGGTTTATTCAGGTGAGTTGAAACTGACCAGACTTTTGACCAGGCTGAAATGGGATGATGCTGGTGTGTTTGGCAATTTGCTTTCTTTTCAAGACAAATAACCAAAAAACTACTTTGTAGCTCCTGTAAAATACTATGACTCGCCTAAGAAGGGGATTACAAGAATCCTAGACACAGATGAAAAACTGTTCAAACCGCAATACCAGTTTGTTCCTAACGACATCACCCCAGGTAAATCATCATTTTGTTTATATTTGGCAAAGCTGCTGCAGCCCCCAAGGGGAAAAGAGAAGAATAACTTCTACCAAAAAGAGTAGCTGAGGGGACAGCTAGGTCTGGGAAGAGAGAGCTCAGGGAGCGTAATACATGGATGTGGCCCTTGTTTAGATATGTGTTCATTTCACTTTATTGGTCATGAGTAAAGACTATATACAGTTAAGCTACCCAAAAGAGAGAAAGGAAGAAATGAGGGAAGAGGAAGAAAAGAGGAGAAAGGCAGTTTTATTTGTCGTCTGAGCCATATAGCTTTCCACTGAGTACATGTATTAAAATCAAGATCAAATACTGCCTCTGACACTTAACTAGATGTGTGGTCAGAGGTGAGTCATTGGACTTGTCTGCACCTCAGTTTTCTTCATCTATAATATGTCACTGGACATTGTAGGCCCCAGAAGAACATGAGCAATGGTACCAAGCAGGTCGAGTGGTTGGGGCCCCTGTCATCTCCTCTGGCTAGAACATAGAGGCGGGGGCAGGTGGGGAGGGGGGAACAGCAGAATGTAATGGACACAGGGTCAGCTTCAGCATCAGAGAGAGCTGGGTTCAAGTCCAGTCTTTGACTCATATTGTCTCTGTGACTCTGGGCACATCACTGACCCTTCCAATGCCCCCAGACAATCCTCTGAGACTAAAAGTTAAGAGGAGGTGCTGATCTGAATTAGTAGAAGACGTAGAAGTAGTAGAGTGGGAATTCATCCCACACAGAAAAAATAAAAAATAAAGCCTCAGGCCCTTTTAGGCAGCAGCTGTTGAGGCAGCGTCTATTCTGCGCTCCTGAGCCTTGGTTTCCCTGCCTAGGAATGGCCTGATGCTATAAGGGCTTGTGATATCTAGTCACTATCTTGTTCAATGCCAACAGTCACCTCCTGGCTAATCCTCTCTCTCTTTTCCAAACCACATACATGGGAAGACTGACATGGAAAAAGAACACAGGCATACGACACTCGGGAAAGGATTCAGTTGGCATGGAGGTTGATGAAATATTTTTATCCTAAATTATCATGTCATTTTACACTGTCACTTCAGAACCATACAAATCATGGTTAAAAAGATGAGCAACTTATTGGGAAACTTGCTGGGCCCTATGCTCAGACCAAGCCGAGAGGATTACTGGAAACTTCCAGCCTTTTCTGGGGTCCAGAAATAGGCAGATGAAATAAGGGAGCCAAATGTTGAATATTTAGTACATCTGTACAGCTCAGGCCCAGAGGGGGTGGCATGCTGTCAGGCCATTTGTAACTTCAAATGTTATTTTCTAGTTTCTTTCTTCATGTAAACTCTTATATTCCCATTATCCATCTGGTTATTTCAGTGTGTATTCATGCCCTGAATACCCACTCTCAACTGAACAGGCTGTCACTATATGTATATTCTATGTGTCTGTCTATCTCTGTCTGTCTGTCTGTCTCTCTCTCTCTCTCTCTCTGTCTCTCTGGGTCTCTGCTCTGTCTCTGTCTTTGTCTTGTCATCCCTTTTTGTGTCTGTGCCTTATGTGTATGTTTCTATTTTTCTCTCTCCCTGCCTCTCTCACTCTGTGTCTCTCTGTCTCTATGTGTCTCTCTGCTTCTGTGTCTCTATCTTTTATCTCACTGTGCCTTTGTGTCTGTCTCTCCATCTCTCTGTCTCTCCCTCCCTCTCTGTCTCTTTTCTCTCTTGCCACCACCACCCCCACTCTCTGTCTCTCTCCCTGTCTTTCTCTGTCTCCTTCCCTTCCTCTTGCTATCTCTGTGTATGTCTGTCTCTCACACACACATGCATAACAGACACAGTTCACACATATGAAAGGTAAGGTCTAAGGGGCAAGGTTATGATGGGGAAGGAGGGGGTCAAGAAGGGCTTCTTGGAATAGTTAACCTTTGAATTCCACTGGTAAAAAGTTTGGCGGGCACTGAGAACCGTCTGAGCAAAGATACGGAGCAGAGAGACTGCAGGGCATGTTTTTCCAGTCAAGTGCCTACTCCTGGTCACCTGAGGCCATGCCCAAAACGGCTTAGCCCCTGGCCTCTGGTCACCTGCACTTCTGCTGCTGCCTAGCTGTTTCCTTTCTGCCCTGCAGCTTTATCCACAACTCCCCATGTCTTTGTTCTGAAGACTTGCAAAGCTGTGTGGCACATTGCCGTGCTATAGAGCTAACCCAGAGGTTTGTGGGGGATGTAGTTCCTAAGAAAGACATGGTGCCATCTGGGCCCAGGAGTGGCCTTGGTGCTTTATTTTCAAGGCTTCCATGCCCATTCCCAGTCACTGGTATACACTCTAGGAAGGCCCCCTGAGGAGAAGGCCATGCTTGGAGGGCATCTCCAAGGACTCTACACATGGGAGCTGGTGGTGATATTATTCAGTTGCAGCAATAATCTCCATGTTAGATCTCATTTTTTGTTTCAGTTCCTATTTTCAAAAAGAAATTCTTGGTAGAGGAGTACCAGAACAATTCTCAAGGCCACACTTGGCTCAAGAAAGGTTGGTAAAGTTTAATTATCATAAATTGTCCTTTCGTTTTACCTTTTTATTTCAGATGCATAATGTCTAGGGCAGTAGCTAAATACTTCTTGGAGAACTTGTGAGGCCCTACTCATTCCATCCTACTTCACTTCAGCACTGCACACACTGAGTAGGGCCCAGACCTGTACTTGGGCAGCTCAGACCCAGAAGCAAGCAAGCTGTTTGTGCCTTCACATCTTGGCTATTTCACCTTCTGGGTGATTTTACTGTTCTCAGCCTTCATAAACACCCCCACCCCTCCCTATTACCCCTGGCTGATATCATGGAGCTCACTGCACATACAGACCGCTAGGCAGTATGTTCACACACATACATGCACACACATGCACACGTGTACACACACACATACATATACTCCCCCCCCATCATTGACCGCGCTGGCCTGAATAACTCCTACACAAAGACACACCACACCGCAATTGACACGCTGGCCTTGTGACTCCTACATAGACACTGTACACTATATATGCTAGCCTGAGTGAATCTCACATGTGCATGCACACACACAAGCTTGTCACTGGACACACTGGCCTGAGTGACTCCTACAAAAGATACGCACAAACTACTTATTGAACACAATGAGCTGAATAGCTCCTACACAAAGACACAGCCCTCATTTGACATATTGGTCTGGGTAATTCCTATAGACAAACACACATCCCTCACTGGACATACTGAGTTGTGTGATTCCCACACACAGACACACACAAACATGCCTCATTGAACACACTGACAAGTCAGTGACTCCTCCATAAACACACACACACACACACATACATACACACCCTGATGTATACACTGAACTGAATGACTTCTACACACAGACACACATCTCACTGGACACCCTATTCTGGGTAATTTTTACATAAATAAACACACCTCACTGGACACCCTGGATTGTGTAAGTCCTACACAATCACACTCCTCTCACTGGACATATTGGCCTGAATAACTCTCTATATAGACACACAAACACTTCCCTCTTATTGACCACAGAGACCTGAGTGACTCCTACATAAGCATATGTACACACAGACACATAACCTCACTTGACATGAATGCATTGTGACTCCTACACAGAAATACATATGTTTGAATACCCCTTTGATGGACACAATGGACAGAGGAAATCCTACATAGATCGTATACCTCCCCTTGAAAATGTTGTCCTGAATGATTCCTAAGTACACACAGACACAGTAGGCTGAGTAACTCCCACACACCAACAAACACACACACATAACTCATTGGAGACTCTGGCCTGGCTAGCTGCTTCATAGACAAACATCACTGGATACCCTAAAATGTGTTACTCCTACACACACACACACACACACACACACACAGCCCTCACTGGACCCAATAGGCAGGATGACTCCTGCAGATAGACATACACATGCTACCCTCATAGGACACATTGACTTGAGGGAATCATACACACATACACAAATACATAACTCTCAAAACTGAACACACTGCCAAGAGTAACATGCAAACAGAAACACACACACTACCCTGACTGGACACATTGACCTGAAAGATTCCGACACAGAGGTGTTAGAGCCCCTCAGTAGACATACAGATAAGAGTGATTCCTGTACAAACACACACACATTCTCATTAGACACACTGGCTTCCTACATAGACATATAAACATACACATACAAACACGCACCCCTTATTTGACACAGGGCTGGATGACTCCTCCACGTAGACACACACCCCTTCATTAACCACAATGGCCTGAGTGACTCCTGTGCTAACACACTAACAGATACACACCCCTCAGCTGACACACTGAACCTTGTGACTCCTACAGATATACACATACACACTGCTCACTGAACACATTGGCCTGAGTGATTCCCACATACAGATACAAACACACAGCTCTTGAACACAGTGGCCCAATTGATACTCAGACACACACACACACACACACACACACACACACACACACACACACACACACACACACACACACACACACACACACCCTACGCCTCTCATTGAAAACAATGGGATGAATGACTCCCACACATATAATCACACATCACTGTATACCCTGGGTTGTGTGACCCTACACTAACACACATCTCTCAGTAGGCACACTGGCCTGAGTGACACATATATCCATGTCACTAGACACATTGCCCAGAATGACTCTCACACAAAGACACATATAAAGAGAATAAAAGGGAGAAATAAAGGGAATAAAGAGCTAACAATTAGAGAGTTATCTCCGTGATGAGAAATTGTGGACTAGTTGTATCTACATGTCTGTGAGTATGTGTATATGATAATGTGTACATAAAAATAAATATATATGTACACACATACACATAGAGATCCACACGTGTGTGTATGCACTCGAGATTGTTGTTGACAATAGCTTGATATTCTTCTCCCCAATTCATCCTTCCCTGAATTCGCACCCATCAATTCTTTTCCCCCATAATTGGAAGGGTTGGGACCAATATCTTAATGACCACACTCGAAGAACATCCCTGAGTGATATAGTTATACATATCTTGCTGCTACATAGTTCAATCCTAATAGTGACTTCCTAACTAATGCTCATTTTTTATTCCAGATACTGCAAATACTGACATGGACATGCAAGAATCATACACTAACTCAGATGAATATGTGAAAGATTGTTCTCTGAAGACAAGAAAAAAAGCAACTGGAGTCAAGGTTGATAAAGTCTAATTATAATAAATTGCTTGAATGAAAGAAAAAAAACGGAAGGAAGGAAGAGTATTTAGTAAGCACTTACTGTGTGATAAACACTATGCTAAGCTCTTGGGATACAAATAGAAAAGACAGTCTCCGCTTTCAGTGAGGTTACTTTCTAACGGGAAAGACAACACATGGGGGAGTGGTAGCCAGGGAGGGGTGATTGACTCGGGTAGAAGCAGGGAAGATTCTGCGGAGGGCAGGACATAAATGGCATAAGCTTTGTGTAGTGTGTGGTCAGGAGGGGAAGGGATACGGATCACAACCTGTCTACCATACCTTAGACTGCATCATTCTCACATATATCTTCCCATAGAGTCTCCCATGGTGAAGGAAGGTGGGGGGGGGGCGATCCAATGTATTGGGGGCCTTCCTCTAGCTCTCCTGATCTTGTATCTCTAATAGTGCAGCAGGTAGGTTGTCCATCAGTTACCTTTTACTCATTCCAAATGGCTGGCCTACCTCCTTTTCTAGTCATGCATCTTTCTAATAATATCCTTTATACCAGTTTTCTCATTCCATTCTCCATTGGCTGTACGGTGCAACCTAGTCACATCCTCTCCTTTGCTCTTTGGAGAACCCTCAAATTATGATGTTATAAGATTCCCAGCTTTATGATATCACTGGAAAACCATCAATTTTTCCTTTGCTTCAAAGAGAAATCTGAGGTCATTTGAAGCACTATGCCCCCTTTCCTTCTACTGTTCAATTCTAGACACATTTAATTTTCCATCCAAAGTGTTTGTCCTCTCTTTACTGATGGACCAACTCAATGGACTGTCCATTGAAGTTCATGGGATTCTTTATCTACTTGGTTTTTCCTGTGTGGATACTGAGGCATAAGTCTCCCAACGAGTTGAGTGGACCCCCATGGAGTATTTATGGGAGGGCATGGAGAAGAGTGGCACAAGATAAAAAGGTAGGGATGGGTTGTGATCTGTATATACCATCTAGTCAACCTCCCTATATTAGACTGGAAGCTCCTTGAGAACACAATTGTCTTTTGCCTTTCTTTGTATCCCCAGCATTTAACACAGTGCCTGGCACATAGAAAGTGATTAGTAAATGTTTGTTGGCTGGACTTACATTACAAATTAGGAAACTGAGGCAATAATCACCCCCAGATTTACAATATATACATTGATAGAATTTTATGAATTTTTTTTAAAAAATGCATATATTGTTCTAGTATTTTAGTAAGAGTACTGCATTTAGGATCAGAAGACCTGAGTGTGAATTCAGCCTCAGGCATTTACTAGCTGTGTGACCTAACCCCAACGTCTCCTAGACTCAGTTTCCTCTCTCTGTAAAATGACACTAATAAGTTTTGCATTACCTATCTCACAGAGTTGTTCTGAGGCTCAGATGAGATGATAATATATACATGGAAGTGGCTACATAAAATATGAAGCACTCCAGAAATCAAAAGCTATTTAAATTGTCAGTAGGTACCTTTGTATGTTCACAGCCACATCCACACAGTAAGTACTTTGTCATTTGGGTAGCCAACATAGTAATATAGGAATCAGCTGACAGATCAAAAACAGAATCATGGCAGATGGGTTGAATCTGTGTGTTTGTGTGTGTGTGTGTGTGTGTGTGTGTGTGTGTGTGTGTTTTCCCTCTCCCTACTTTAATTAGTGATACATAACTGGCCTTTTCTTGCAGAAGTCATATTGCTTGCCTGTGTATTATTCCTATTTGCTTTGATGGGTGGAGCAGCTGTGTATTCAACCATATAGTAAGTATATTTATAAGCCAATACATAGAATATTTTTTTCATTCAGTGATGGACCTAGAGTTGACATGGTGCAGTGGAAAGAGTACTGGATTTGTGGTCAGAGGAACTAAATTCAAATCCCAGCTCTGCTATTTTTTAGCTGTGTGACCTTGGGAAAATCACTGCCCCTCTCTGAGCCTCAGTTTTCTTCAACTGTAAAATGATGAAGTTAGACTAGATGACCTTTGAGGTCCCTTCCACCTCTCAATCTCTGATCTTATCCATGACCTGTATCTTCATCACTAGATCAGTACATGAATTATACAGGAAAATAACTCTTTCATGGCTTTGCAGGAACTAAAGGGAGATGTTACAAATTATGAGAAAGTACAAATGGAAATGAATGAGCGAATCACTCTTTGCTCAAGCCAGTGGTGGACAGTCTTGTACTATAGCCTTACTAGCTGTGTAACCCTGGGCAAGTCACTTCACACTGTGTGACTCAATTTCCTGATCTGTAAAATGAGCTGGAGAAGGAAATAGCAAACCACTCCAGTATCTGTGCCAAGAAAACCCCAAATCAGGTTATGAAGAATCAGAAATGACTCAACAACAGGGTCTGGTGAAGTTTGTTTTTTGGTTTTTTTTTTTTGGAGGCAGGGTGGATGGGAGTGACTTAGATCTATTTGAAGGCAGGGGGAAAAGCAGCCAGTTGAAAGGGAAAAATTAAAGATTGTAGAGGGACAAGGGATGGCTGAAGATGCAGTCTGCTGGAGAAAACAGGAGGTAATGGGATGAAGCATACGTGTAGAGGAGTTGACCTTGGCAAGGAGAAAGGCCATTTCTTTGTCAGAGACTTGGGAAAAGGAAGAGAGAGTAGATGATGTTAGGGAGTTTTGAAATAGAATGGGAGAAGAGAGAGCTCACTTCAAATGGCCTCAGTTTTCTCAGTAAAATAAGAGGCAAGGTCCTTAGCTGAAAGGGATGAAGGAGAAGGAGATATGGGAAGCTTGAGGAAAGGAAAGTTTGGGTGAGATTCTGTGGCAGTGAAATAGGGAATCAATTGGGGAGAAATAAAAGGGTTGCCTTTCTGTAGCAAAGGCCCTGTTGAAGTCAGGCAACATGAATTTTTAGCATGAATGTGTGACTTCCTTTAGTTCTAATCAGTAGTATGTGAGTAAGAGAAGAGGAAGTAGATGGTGGGAACAATCCAAGCCTGGGGCTTGGCAAGGCATGATTGATGACAGAACAAGGTGGGGTGGGGTGAGAGATTTGAGAGCAAGTAATGTGGAGTTGAACTGGTTAACTACAGTCAAGATTGAGAAGATAAAAAAGTAAAGTCAGGGAAGGAATAAAATGGCCTAAGAGACCACTGAAGGACACAGGATTGGAAATTTGTAGAGGAATAGGTTTAGAAGAAATGAGGCATGGGGAGAGATGAAATTATAGAAGGTTATAATCATATAGAGCAAGGGTTCTTAACCGGTTTTGTGCCTTGCACCCAACTAGCAGACTGGTAAAACCTGTGGGCCCCTTCTCAGAATTTTTTAAGTGCTAAAATAAAATACATAGGATCACAAAAAAAATACAGTTATTGAAATATGAAAAAAGCAAGGTCACAGGCCCCGGGTTAAGAACCCCTGATATATAATGTCAGAGTTTTTGACCAAGGAATTAGAACACTTGGAGGTAATCATGAGGCTCAGGGTGTGACCATCCCTGTGTGTGGCTGAGATGGAATGAAGGAGTAGGTTGTAAGATTTCACAAGATTGAGGAGTTGGGAGGTTAAAGAGTTTGAAGGAGTGGCAACATGGATAGTAATGTCCCCAGATACTAGGGCAAGAGTTGAGAAGGAGAGGAAGACAACAATACAGGTACTAACCTTTTAAGAAAGAGGGAGGACAATCTGGAGGTTGGTTGACAGTGGCCACCGTAATTTGAATAAAGTAGAACATTTTAAACCAGTGAACTTCAAAGGAGGAAAGGTTGCTGAGTGATGGCCATGAGGGTCTGGAAGAGGCAGTGGAGGGCAAGGAGTATTCTGACTCCCCCTCCCAAACCAGTGTGTTTAGGGATAAAAATGAAGTTTGCAGCCAGTGCTAGAGAGGATGGCCATGGATATTGTATCATCTGAGGGGAGCCAGGTCTCAAGAAGAGCAAAAAGATGAAAGGAGTATGAGAGAAAGAAGTCCAGTGTGAATGCATACAACCATTCTGGAAAGCAATTTAGGATTAGTTACTAAATGATGCATATCCTTCGACCCAATTATACTACTGCTAGGCTTATGCCCAAAAGAAACAGGAAAAGGTCCTGTATGTTCAAAATTGTTTATAATACCTCTTCTGTGGAAGCAAAAATACGTGGAAACTAAGGGGATGCCTATTGATTGAGGAATAGCTGAATAAGTTGCAATATATGAATGTGATAGGGTCCTATGGAAAAACTTATAGATTTCTGTTAATTTTTTAAAAATAGGTTGGATTACTACAGATGTGGAATGTGCATTCACTTTCAGATGAAGTCACTGTATCATTGGTTTTACTTAACTGTCTTACTTTAATACGAGAACTTCCATGAAGTTGATGTCATCTGTAAAAGTATATACTGTAAAAAAAACCCACAAATAAAACTTAAAAAAAATACTCTGAAGGAGGACGATGCCCTGGAGAGGAAAAAAGAGGCCAAAGAACAGTTTGTTCACTGTGGAATGGGAATTCCAGAGTGGAAAGGCTAGGCAGCTTGCAGTGGAAAATGGGTGAGGTAGGGCCAAGGTAAGTGGAGACTGTTAACCATAGAGACATTAATGAGTGGCAAATGAAGAATAACGTCCACAGTCTTGGAGTGATACATTTCACTACACAAGTAGACAATTTTCTCTTTGACTATCTGCATTGACACAAGTGAATGCTAGCAGAAAATTTTCTAAAGTACTCCAGCACATCTGTGATCTCTTTGAAGATGAGATGTTCAGTGTACTGCCTCCAGTAATGCCCACTGCAACTGGTTCATCCCTGATCATCCTGTGGAACTCTTGTCCACGTTCATTCATAATTTTGACACAGGGGGTCTACCCAATCTTCTAAGGCCCTTCCTTACTCTTGCCATAGCAGTGGCACATTGAAATAAAAGATCGGAACTCTGAGCAGGCAGCATGAAATAGTCGAAAGAGTCCTGGGTTCAAACTCCTGCTCCAACGCTTATTACCTCTTTGGGCCTCATTTGCTACATGTATGAAATGGAGATGCTAGTACTCCCTGATTAACAGAGTTGTTATGATGAAAGGGATATAGAAATGTGAGCCATTAAGAGCAACTAAACATTAACTCTATTATCTACAAATAAATTATCCATATTTATAATATATTCTCCCTGATTGATTAATTTTAATTTTTTTTGGTTATCAAACATTTTTCTTCCTCCTATCTCCCCATTTCAAAAGAAAGGGAAGGGAAGGAAAACCCTTGTAGCAAATAAGTACAGTTAAACAAAACAAAATCCCAGGTTGGCCACGTCCCAAAACATGTGTCTGATTCAACATATTATTCCATCACCTCTCCGCCACAAGGTTGGTAGCATTCTTTGTCGTTATCATCTATAATCATAATTGATCATCGTGTGGATCTCTACTCAACTGTTAATACAAAGCTAACCACCTCTTGCCAATCAGTATTCTTCAAAGGATTTTCCTCCCCAATTCTCCATTTGCAGCATATTATAGACCAAATACTATCTTGAGTTTTAACTTAAATCTTCCCTTAAGCAGGAAGGGAAATCTCTTGATAGGGGGAAAAAAACCTGAAACATACCATATTGTACTACAAAGCCAAAACTGTTATCTTATCTGCTCTTTTGGTATTATCTGTGCCACTCTTTGTCTCTCTTATCTCAGATCCCTGAGAGTTGATTAAGAGTTGGTTTTTCTAATGTGGATTCCTTGTTTATAAGATGTTCTCCCACGTTTCTAAGTCAACAGCAGATAGATAGATAGATAGATAGATAGATAGATAGATAGATAGATAGATATGTATGTATAGACACACACACACATATAATTAAAGGACATCAGTTGGTAGTCAAATGACAAAGCTTTGTTGTTGAAATGCTTTTCTGTGTGCTTTTCCTCTAGTGACCACTCAAAGCGTGAGGAAACCACAGAACCTGACAGTGTTGCTGAGACGCTTATACCATTAAAACCAGTACAGGAACTTGATAAGTGGAAGCCAAAGGAAAAATTTTCTGAGACTACAGACAACAAAAAAGAATTGGAGATATTACTCTATTTAGGTAAAATTTATGTAAAAGATCAATTTGCTTTACAAAGCAAAACTAAGGAAAATCAGAGCCTAGAAAAAAGTGGAATCAAAGGACAGGAAAACTTCACCTCTAAGGTCACACCTCGATTCAAATTTCTAAATGGAGTCTCTGGGGTCCTTCTCAAGGGTGGCCCCTTCTCAGTGCCCTGCAGGTCCTTGCTGGTGTTGGAATGCTTGACTAGTTCAATGTATTGCCAGTGAGCCCTGCCTAGTGACTCACAGTGAGTTAGTGGCAAAGATGAACTAGAACCCAGGACCTTTAACTTTAAGGCCTGCACTCTTTTTTAATTTAAAAAAAAATTTTAATTAATTTATTTTGAATTATCAACAATCATTTCCATAAGCTTTTGAGTTTTAAATTTTTCTCCACCTCCCCAAGACAGCGCACAATCTGATATAGGCTATCCATATATATTCCTCTTAAACATATTTTTACTGTAGGTAAGAATTAGAACCAATAGGAGGAACCACCAGAAAGAGGAAACAAAACACACAGAAGAAAAAAAGTAGCAAATAGTATGCTTCGATCTGCATTCAGACTCCATAGTTCTTTCTTTGGATATGGATAGCATTTTCCATAATGAGAGGAACTTTTTTTTTTAAGGCAATTGGGGTTAAGTGACTTGTCCAGGGTCACACAGCTAGTAAGTGTCAAGTGTTTGGTCTGAGGCTGGATTTGAACTCGGGTCCTCCTGACTTCAGGGCTGGTGCTCTATCTGCTGCACCATCTAGCTGCCCCAGGCCTACACTCTTTTTCTGCTTTCTACATGGCCTGCTCAAATCTGCCAAGGGAGGGGAAACCTGGCTTTTACTCCATCATTAGATTATCGGGCTCTCACCTCGACATAAGGTTTCTTTTGTATTCTCTTGCTCTCTCACCCCACGTAGGCTCGAGATCACAAAAGCTCAGAATTTCAGAGTTGGAAAGGTCCTCTTGGGCTGGCTCTTCGTCCTGGTTCTAGAGGATGAAAGGGAAGAGCCAACTCTCCCAAAATTGTCCCACCTTCTCCTGAGGCAACCAAGGCCTTTCATACTACCCAGGGCTACTTCCTGAAACATCTAGAAAAGGTAGAGGAAACAGGGGCAGCTAGGTCGTGTAGTGGATAGAGTGCCAGGCCTGGAGTCAGGAAGACTCATCTCCCTGAGTTCAAATCTGGCCTCAGACACTCACTAGCTGTGTGACCCTGGGCAAGTCACTCTACCCTGTTTGCCTCTGTTTCCTCATCTGTAAAATGAGCTGGAGAAGGAGATGGCAAACCACTTCAGTATCTCTGCCACAAAAACCCCAAATTGGCTCATGAAGAGTTGGACATGACCGAACAATAACACACACACACACACACACACACACCACACACACACACAAATACACATAGAAAGAAAGGGACAAGTAGAATGGGGGACAGAAACTAGTTCTGTGGTGCATGTTAGTGTGGTAGACTACCCTTATTGTATAGAGAAAGCCTTTCCTTTTGATGAGAGACAGTGTGGCTTAGTGGAGAGGGTACCTGACCTGGAGCCAGGAAGACCTGGATTTGAGTTCTGCCTCTTACATGTACCAGCTGTGTTACCACAGGCAAATCAGTTAATCTCTGTGAGCCTCATTTTCCTTATCTGCAAAATAGGAATAATAATCATTATATTATAATAATCACATATCATAATAATAATAACCTACAGTGCCCACCTAATGGAGATGTTGTAAGGTTCAAAGTCTTTAAAGTACTTTGCAATATCAAATTGCTTACCATCTCAGGGAGAAGGTAGGGAAGAGGGGGAGAGAGAGAATTTGGAACTCAAAATTTTAAAAAGCAAATGTTAAAAATTGTTTTTATGTGTAATTGGAGAAAACAAAGTATCGTTTTAAAAAAGTGCTTTGCAAATCTTAAAACGCTATATTGGAATCCAGTTTTTATTAACACTGAATTAATAACCTAGGTAAATGCTTTATTCCTGGTGTGCTTTTAGAGTTCATGTGATAAGAAATTAACCTTTTTAATGTCATTTTCATCATCGAACAATTTTCTTCATCATTACCTCAGATTTCCTCTTGTTTACCACCTTAATGTTTGATTCTTCATCTAAACCAGGGTTTCTTAACTTGGGGTACATGGATAGAATAGGAAGTACAAAAATGGGGGAAGAAATCCATCAGTATTTTCATATCAAAACCTGTGAGATCTGATTCCTTCATTGATTTAAAAACATGATTCTGAGAAGGGGTCTGTAGGCTTTACTAGATGGCCAAAGGAGTCCATACCACCAAAAAAAGGTTAAAGTGATCTAACGTCATATTGTCAAGAAGCTGCTAATGTAATTCCCCTGCATGTCGGGCCTTTGGTAAATGTTTATTGGATTTGTTGAAGTGAGATCTTAACATTTATCCCTACCCCCCCCCATGGCTCCCACTAAAAAGGGGATGGACCCTGTGACTGGCTAGATGTGGGAGGGGGGACAGTTTTCTGTTGCTACCAGGACAAGAACTAGATCCAAAACTGGCCTATCCCTTAAAAAAAGCAGCATTTCCAAATGAAACTGTTATTACAGTTATGAAAGACATTGATAAGCTGATAGACAACCAGAGGAGGTTGACCACAGCCTTGACATATTGCTGTTTGAGCATTAATTGAAGCAGCCAGAGTTGTTTAGAGATGGAGAAGAGAAGACTTAGAGGAAACAGGAGAATTGTCTTCAGGTATTTGAGGGGCTGTCATACGGAAGAGGGATTTAATGTGCAGAATACTGTCTTTCTCTGAAGACAGAGTTGGGAGTTGGGGAGGGTAGGGGTGAAACAGGCCGATGGGAAGGTAGGCAATTGCTGAGTCCTGGTCTCTCTTCTGCTCCTGGAAACACATGCTTTCTGGCTCTTTGTTTGCCTGCTGATGTCCACTGGCTTTAAGGGACATGGACCTTATTCTTGTTCTTGCTGGCTATGTATCTCAGGCTTTTTCCAGCGCTACGTAATCCTCTGTTGTTAGTGTATTAGTGTATGTGTTCTTGATGGCTAGTAAAAAAATTATATTCTCAACTCATTGAAACAATGTGGTGGGTATACAGATCTTGCCACCAATGCATACTAGTTCTGTGACCATGAGCAAAGTACTCAGCCTTTCAGTGTTGCAAGACTATAATTTGCAGAGAAAGTGCCAGCCTTCATTGGTAGAGGTAGTTTCCTCACCTGGGAGTACCTCATACCAGTGAAATCCACAGGGCCATTCCCTCTCTATGTCCTTCCATTTTTGTAAGAAGACAGAAATCTTGAACATGCATGTGGCTTGAGTGATGGTCTCACGAATCACTGGATTCACTGGTTTTTGATGAGCTGTGTCTATGTGTTATTAACTGGTTCCATGAAAACATAACATTAAGCTCTGCTGCTGGGGAGCAGAGGGCCCTGACCCAAGCTCCTTGTGTTGCGAGCCTAGGGCCTGGTCACTGGCTTTGTGTGCTGGGGTCTTCAGTGTTGGCAGTTGGAGGCTGTAGCGTTCTGGAAGCTTAGCTGGTGTTGAGCTGGAATCAGCAACACTGGAACTCTAGGGGTAGGATTGGGTAGTGTGGCCCCTGGAGATTTCCTGCTCACCCGGGCCTTTCCTTCCTTTTGCTTTCTTCAGCTCCTTTCAGATGGATGTTGCAGGGTATTTATCCACCTGGGACCCCTTGGAGCGCTGCTTCCCTTAGTTTTGCTGAGGCACTGAGAGACTGGGTTCTATAGAATGCTGGGGCACCTGGTGGTCTTCCAAGCTGGTTTCCACCGGTCCCCCAGGGCACCTCACTGAGGCACTCGGAGGTCCAGGTGTTGGTGTTCACCTGCTCTACCACCTGGGCTTCAGGATCTCCTCCTGGTATGCTGTAGTGGGGCTTTCCACTAGCTTGCTGGGGTGCCTCCCATTCTAAGCTGCTCCCCTTCCCCTAGGGCAAGAGGGGCCTTAATCCCTCAAACTACCTGAGCCAGTGAACTGCTGTACCTGTCTTTCTTCTGGTTCAGCTGTTTCAGGGTTTTTCCTGGGGTGATATTTTCTGGGCTTTCAGAGGTTACTTAGGGAGGGTAAGAGTGACTTACTTCTTACTCTTGGAAGTGGAAGTCAAAAAATAATATTAAGTTAAAGGACATTAGTGGGGAAAGTTACTTCCAAAGGATTCTATAATGCTAATCAATGTATTGGTGCTTGGGTAGGATTTCTAATATATACACAGGATTGATGAGAGGTGATTTTGTACTCATATATCAATGACTCACAAATATGTTTTATTTTAGTTTTGAAAACTGAGAGGAAGAAAAAGAGACATAAGAAAAAAAGGAGATCAGAGTCCAGGATGAACTTAAGAAGAAGAAGAAGAAAAGAATTAGCTCGGAAAAAGGGAAATAAGCATTTAGGAGTTAACGCCGAAGACATAAAAATTCTCGATCTGAGTAAGCAAAATGGAGAACTTCAGAAAATGCCTGAGAAGGGAAACTATGACAGAGGGAAAATGAAAGATGCTAAATGGGAGTATCAGGTCCTGCTGTCAGCAGGCCTTCCTTATCAGATTCCAGCTTTCAACATACCCAGCTTTAAAATGTTCAATTTGTGGTGAAAGAAAAGCCAAGTAAAAATAGAAGCAGAGAGGGGAGAATAAAAATGTTGTGAAGTAATAGTTCTCTTGGTTTTGTTTTTAATTTCTCCATTTCTGGAATAACAAGAACCTAAGTAGAGGAGAGGGGGCTGTTCCCATGGAGAGTCAATCAGAATAAGGTGGTGGGAAAATTCCCAGGCTGCCTGCCCAGCATGATGAGGCCTCAGAGTATGTTTTTGTGGAGGTGACCCTGGGTTCTTGAAGGCTCTGCCAGTGATATGCAGGCTCTGGCTGGAAAGGCTTCACATGTTGTCCTGGTAACAGGTTTAAGTATGCTATCCAAGGAGCAACATAGCTAAGAGACACATCACTAATATATTGGCCGGTGGAAGATTAATTCCTTGGCCATGGCAACCTGTGAATCAAAGACAATTTTTTTAAACGATCCTTAGTCTTGTGTAGCCCCCTTTCACCTCCATAGTGACAGTAGAGACAAGAACAGAGAGAGGGCTCTAAGAATCAGTTTTTAAATTACCTATGAACTCAATGAACAGCAGCTAGGGGGTGCTGCAGTGGATAGAGTGCCAGGCCTGGAGTCAGGAAGACTCATCTGCCTGAGCTTAAATCTGGCCTCAGACACTGACTAGCTGTGTGACTCTGGGTAAGTCACTTTACCCTGTTTGCCTCAGTTTCCTCATTTGTAATATGAGCTGGACAAGGAAATGGCAAACCACTCCAATATCTTTGCCAAGAAAACCTCAAATGGGGGCGCAGCTAGGTGGCACAGTGGATAGAGCACTGGCCCTGGAGTCAGAACAACCTGAGTTCAAATCTGGCCTCAGACATATAATACTCACTAGCTGTGTGACTCTGGGTAAGTCACTTTACCCTGTTTGCCTCAGTTTCCTCATCTATAAAATGAGCTGGAGAAGGAAATGGCAAACCACTCCAGTGTCTCTGCCACGAAAACCCCAAATGGAGTCACAAAGATTTAGACACAACTGAATCAACTGAACAGCAGTATCAACGAATATGAACTTAACTGTATGGACCCTATTTGACTTCCTTCGCCATTGACCAGTGAATATATATACTATTGTAATCACAAGTCAGCCCTGAAAGCCGTCTCTAAGACCCTGTCTAGAATATACTTTCTATGGGAACTGTTCAGTGAGAGACATGTCACCCTTTAAGATTTGTAAAGAAAGCACTTTACATACGCCATTGTACTACCTGCCTGAGTAAGGGCATTCATAGTTCCACCTGGCTCTTACTTCTGCCACCTACTTTGATTTTGCTGCTTTCCAAAATGGACCTTAGTGCAAGTAGCATGGAGCAGGCCATGGGCCCAGGCCTCCCAATGGGGTTTCCTAATGTAACCGAGGGGGAGAAAAAAATGGTCTGACACTCACATGGGGCAGGGGAAGTAGTGTCTTTGAAATTTGCCATTGAAATCCTGGCTATCAAGAAATATTAGGTAAACAGGAGAGTTTCAAGGTAAAATCATTTAGCTGTAGCAATACCCTTCCCAAATACACATGCCTCTCTGTAAAGAAGGCAAAACCTGCTTCCTAAGCCAACTGACACAATACCTGACTTTTTGTGGGGGTGGTACTATAGAGTCCCAATGTCCTTTTTCTTCCTGTGTTGTCCTCATACTACTCCTCTTGGGTACAGCATCTCTACTCATCTGGGCTTCCTGGGTCTGCTCAACTCTAAGCTGCCTGGGCTAGTTTTCTCTTGACTTCATAGTCAGCTTTCTTCTCTGTTGCCAGAGTTCTCAGTCCTTGAAGTTGCTTCCTTCCTTAAATATTGCCTCTGAAAAATTTCCACTCAGAGCTGACTGGCTTATATTTTAAGGTCCACCTAGGGTGTGGCCAGTTTTTTCCCAGCCAGTTACTAGGGCACTTCCAATTCATTCTGAGCCTTTTCATTCTTCCTAAAGGGCTGATAGGTAAAAGACACATCTTTGTATTTCATTAGCGTGTTTAATACCTTCTTACTACTTTTATCTGCTCCCTGATTTCTATGATTAGATCACCTGGGGAGGAGGTGGAGGTGGGGAGGGAAACAAATCCCCTAACCCCACATACTCACTACATAAGACATTATAAACACTTTTGCCTGGGGCCTAGCTACCCTTGCCTGAACATTTAAATTACTTGGATTTGGGAGGTAGGAAGAAGCATTGCAAGCCTACTTGGCATATAATAAGAGTTTTAGGCTATGCTCTCAAGGTAGCACTAACTAGCTCATAATTTATATGATCGCTCCAGACAGGAAAAGCCCTTGCTAAGAGGACACAGTATTCTTGACTGGCAGACCCAGAGGAAGGAAATGAGGTATTTGGTGTCTTTCTTAATTCTTTTATGAGTTGTCCAACATTGGATAGAGAGCCCAAGTGGGGAATCTGAGAGCTCTCATCAGTTTCTAACTGATTAAGTACCTCTAAAATGACATTACTGTGTTCTTGGTAGTGAGATTCCCTTGACAACTGTTCAGGAAAAAAATCTGATAAGAGAGTAACTCAATTGTGTCAATAGAACTGAGAAGGAGAGGGGGTAAATGGTTAGCAAGAAGTGGAAACCCCAAATAAATGAGGAGACAGTACCTAACTGTCCTCGATGAATTCAAGATGAACTACAATGACTAAAAGGACTTACAGTCGTAATCCTGGAGAACAAGAGTGGAGCCACGGGTCTGGAGCTGGGAAGATGGTACACCAATTGTAAAGAAAGGGAAAAAAGGAAAGGAGATAGACTCTGAAATTGTAGGGCAGTGAGCTGACTTCTATTGCTCACTAAATTCTAAAATACATTATTAAAGGGATGGTTCATGAGGTTCATATATTCACATGAGAAAGGGAAGCCATGATCACTAAAAGCCAGTATGGCTTAGTCAGGAACAGATTATTCCACACTAACCTCACTTCCTTTTTTTGACTGGTTGAGCAGTAGCTATTACAGATGAAGTCTACTTAGATTTTAGAGTATATGAGAGTTTCTTGTGCTATGCTTATGGATAAAATGGAAGATATGAGAGAGATATTAGTACAGACAGAGATGGTTTTGAATTAGTTGAATGACTAGACCCAAAGAGTAATCATTAATGGGTCAATGCCAATGTCTCTATTGGAATGCCTCAGGGATGAGACCGTGGTCCTGTATTGCAGAACATTTTTATCCATGACTTTTATGAAGGCACAGTAAAATCTGCAGAAGACCACAAAGTTTATAAAATCAAAGATTTAGAGCTGGAAAGGACCTTTGAAGTCAAGTACTCCAACTCCTTTTTTACACTTGGATAAACCAAAATCCAGAGAGGTGAAATACCTGTCCCAAGGTCCTACAGGCAGTGAGAAGCAGAGAGCTGGGAGGTGCACTCTGGTCCTCTGACTCCAAAGCAAACGTTCTTTCCTTTATACCATAGCTGCCTTAGAGGGAAAGTTAACAATATGGATGAATGAGTCTGAATACAAAAAGACATCACCTGGTTAGAACATTGAGCCACATCACCTAAGGCAAAATGTAATAGAGATAAATGAAAAATTCTCTACTTGAGCTTCAAGGGAGGCATGAATAGACAAGTCCTGTGAAATAGATCTGCTGATATTACAATAGGACAGTTTACTGTGTCATTACCAAAAAAATGCTATAAAACTGAGGGGAAAAAAGATCTGGGGGTATGAATGGACCAACAATGTGATGTGGAAGTCAAAACATCTAATACTATCCTAGGCTGTAGAGAGAGCTGTAGGGAGGTGATTGGTCTGTTATGCTCTGCCCTTGTCAGGTCACACATGGAATTTTTGGTTCCATTTTGAGTACATTTTAGAAAAGATGTAGTGGAGGCAGCTAGGGGGCGCTGCAGTGGATAGAGCACCGGCCCTGGAGTCAGGAGGACCTGAGTTCAAATCCAGCCTCAGACACTTGATACTTAGTAGCTGTGTGACCCTGGGCAAGTCACTTAATCCCAATTGCCTTACCAAAAAAAAAAAAAGATGCAATGGCAGAGCTCAGATTTGACCTCAAGGCTTCCAATTCAAATCCAGTACTCTTTCTACTATACAACATGGGCATGTCCAGGGCATGATCAAGACAGTAAAAAGTCAAGAAAACCAATCTTAGGAGGATCAGTTGGAGGTAGTAAGAATGTTTGGCTTGGAGAAGAGAGGCATGGAGTAAATAAGATAGTTGTCTCTATAATCTTTCAAATGATCACTGACAACAGCGTAGTAAACACATTCACCAGTTCTTTCAGTACCTTATTGTTTCAGTAAGAAGACCTTCTAACTATTCTTGCTATACACAAATGGAATTGGCTGTCTTATGAGGTACTGAGCATCTTATCACTGGAGGTATTGGAGCAGGAGCTGAATTACCACTTGTCAGGGATGTTATCAGAAGGGACACCATAGGAGACCAATGGAAATGGAGAGTACAAGGAAGCAGTATATAAAAGCAGTATTATAAAATCAAAGATTTAGAGCTGGAAAGGACCTTTGAAATCAAGTAATCTGACTCCATTTCTACAGTTAGATAAACCAACATCCAGAGAGGTGAGCTCTTTCCTACAACTATTCCATCAAAGACCTAGAAAGAGCATCAGACCAAGCTGTGATCAAGAAATACAAGGAAAAAATAATAGTGAGTCTTCCAGCCTAAGTCAGCATAGGGATAGAGAGAGGTCTGGGGTACTGAAGACAGAGTGTAGCTGGAAGGGCACTACCTGGAGCCTTCTA